TCTTCTTAATTTGATTGTCCAGATCATCAAAATATGGATGATTCAGTGCCATTTTGCCAGAAATACGTTTGGCTGGATCATAGACTAACATTTTCTAGAAGAAAACAAAGATACTTCAGAAAACAAGCTTTTTTCTTTTAAGTACCAGAAAACCTTTGTTTTACTAATAAACTATATTAATAATTTTAGTGGAAAATCTGCTAAATGAACATTTCCATTGGTTTATCACCAAACTATGCAAATATCTCAATCCCCTCTATTTTTCCATAATAATCTGTTTCTTATATCACAGCTCAATAACCTTATGTCATAAAGTATAGGACCCAAAAATTTAGAAATAAAACTTTAAAACCAAGACATAAATTTAAGATACACAGTTAAGAAAGATAACCAGTTGATTACTTTTCCTTTGAGAATTAAATGGCCATCTGAGTTATTTACAAGGTTACAATGGTGCAATTAATTATCATGATTTTGATGTAGCTTCCAGTGAGTTCCAAATGAAAGAAAAAAAGCCCACAACAATGTGTTATATAAAGAGGGCGAGTGAGTTGGCCAAGTTCATGTAGCAGAGAGGTAAGATGTAATCTGAAACTAAGCCTAATTTAGGATGATTTTGGCCTCAAGGAACTGGTTGTAGACATTTCTGTTGTCATCACTAGTGTTTGTCTCTAGCATGTAAAGTAGTGGAAATGGCACTGCCAAACATACTGCACTGCACAGACAGTACATTTACAAGGTATCTGCGGCTCTAAGACCTAATGTGGCTACAAAGAATGCTGACTTATGGGATTTCATTTTGTTTTTCTTTACTAAAGTCCTTTGTGCTCAAAAACTTCATTAGTTATACAATCACACTGAATCCAAAATAGAGACCAAAGGGCCTTTAAGTCAATCTGCAACATTAATAGATAAGGCAATGGGAAATCTGAGTGTAATTTAGCAGCATGATTTAGATTGTGAAAGAAGCTGAAAACCAATTAGACATATTTGATGATCTAGCAGGGATTTTTTTTTTTTAATGAGAGCTACCACAGCTGTATTTTTCTGCTATCATATTACCTGGGTTTCATAAAATTTGTTCCCTCTAAAAATCTGAAATTTAAATATTGGTCTAAGTCACACGCTCATAAAACAAAACATTTTTATCCTAACAGTGATTTGTTTTTAAAGATTATTAAAATTGCTAAGTGGAATAGCAATGAACACGCAGCAAGATTAGGCTACATTATTCTTTTTAACCTTTGTAGGCACAGAGAGAAAATGGAACTCATGTTGCAAAAGGTCTTGGTAACTAGAAATATCAACCAGTAAGCAAAGCACCCTGTGTTTAGGATAAATCTTACAAAAAGGGAATCAGTAGTAACTACTGAGGAAAAAAATAAACAAAGCTGGAAAAGAAGTCCATTACAACTCAGTAACTTACACAGAATCAAAGGCTGCTATTAACCCTGGCCTTTCCAAGAGTATATAACAACTTATCAGATAAAAACAAAAAAATCTGGGCCCAAGCTAGGCACTAATGACACTTGTAATTCTCATTACTTGGTTCTAAGCCAGACTGAACAGGTAAGTTTCTGAGCTGAGAATCTCCAATAAAGCACCAAAAATCTGGGAATGGAACTATGGTTCATATAGTAGAGCATGAACCTTGAGCCTCAAGTGTCCAGGGCACGTATACATATATACACAAAAACTGAATACATGTAAAGTGGCTCACACCTATAATATCACATACTTGGGAAACAGAGGAAGACAGGCTGAGTAAAAAGGCATAAAATATTAACCTAAAAATTAATAAAAGCAAAAAGAACTGCCGGTAGCCAGACACTGGTGGCTCATATCTGTAATCCTATCTACTCTGGATCTGAGGATCATGGTTCAAAAACAGCACAAGCAGGAAAAGTTCATGAGACTCTTATCACCAATAAATCACACACACACACACACACACACACACAAAAGCCTTAACTAGAGCTGTGGCTTGAGCAGTAGAGCACTAGCCTTGAGCAAAAGAAGATCAGGAATAGAGCTCAGGCCCCAGGATCTCTCTCTCTCTCTCTCTCTCTCTCACACACACACACACACACACACACAGCTAGAAGTGTGGCTTACGTGGTAAAACATTTGCTTATTAGCAAGCATAAAAGTCCTGAGTTAAAAACTTTTTATACATAAAAGTATCTTGTCAAAGCACCAGACCCAAGTTCAAATTTCCAGTGCCATCAAAATAAACTAATGCTAAATCTTCCTCTCTCAAAACCACTAGTGTTTATTGGTTTCTGTTCGGATTGACAAAGTCAACTTGATAGGACTGAGAACACAAAGGGCCCTTCCCTGCCTCTGGCCCTGCTGCTTGGCTGCTATGAGCTGAGCAGCTCTGCTCTACAAGCTCTCTTTCTCTCATGACAGGGTGAAATCTCAAACCAAAATAAAATTTTCCCCACTTCATGTCACTTGATGTGGTACAGTTAACATAATCTAAAATGAAGCTAGTATTACAATCCCTCTAACATAAAAATATTTGTTTTCCCATTTCCCAGATAAAAGAACGAAGACTGGGGTTGTGGTTTCGGTGGCAAGAGCATCTGCCAAGCAGAGGCAAAGCCCTGAATTTACACACTGATACTAGCAAAATAAAAATGCTACCTAAACAATCAAGTATGTTTTGCTTACCGAGAGCAAATCCAAGCCATTTTCATCCAAATTTTTGACATGGGAAGCAAGGCTTCCTGGTTTCCACTTGGGAAATGTATTCTTATAGTCCTGTAGAGATTCCACTTCTGGCCACACTTCATTATTAGGAGTACCTAAGGCTCTGCAAAATCACAGCAATACAAAAACTGTTAAAACAAAATACATATGATCTTGCTATGTATACATTGCCTTTAGCATTCAACAACTTACTTCTTTACAGCTTAAGTATGAAATACCTGAAAATCCTGAAGAGCTGATCGATTTCTGAATCCCCATGGAAAAGAGGCTTCTTAGTTGCCAGCTCTGCAAATATGGTGCCTATACTCCAAAT